CAGCGCCTCTAAGGCCCGCAGGCTTGGCATGGGTTTCAGGGTTTTGCCCATCGCGTTGCCCGTGTCTCCCGCTCCTGCCGCTTGCCCCTGGGCGAGGTCGAAGTTGCCTCATGGCCCGAGGGTTGTCTGGGGGCTAAACGATCATTCGATCGAGGAGCTGAGTGGGCAAGCTTATCGCGACTGAGTCCTCGCCCAAAGGTTTGTTCTGTCTGCGGGCGGGCCTGGGCAAGTCCCGCCGGCGGGTGTTGCAGCTGTGTGGGCTAGGAGGCAAGGGAGTGCATGCCGCGCTCCATGCTAAGGCGGCCCGCACTGGGAAGATGCTCGCGCGGGGGAATGGCGGGGGGGGGGGCGCCCATGATTTTGGCCGGCGCATGGAAGCCAAAGGTGAAAACTTGGCAGTTGAGGGGGGGGGGTGGCCCGACCGCCCCGCGCAAGGTTTTCGCTCTGTGGGAGAAGGCGCAGAGCCTGGCCAAACGCATCGCAGATGCTGCCCTCAGTATCTTTATGTCGGCTTTGCCTGGCCGCGCACCTGGGTTTGACTGGGTGTCTGGGCGGGCCTCTGTCTGGCTGTCCAGTGCAGGATTGCAGGAGCTGGGAAGTCTTCTCACAGAGGTTGAAGCCTACCTGCTGCTGGCCTCGTAGGGTTTTCGTCGCGCTCGTCGCCCTTCAGGTCGAGCGTTTAGATGCCGATGGAGCATTGGCCTTTTAGCCTGGCTGGTAAGGTCTGGGGCGCAGTCAGTAAATCCAGCCGGGCTTCCTGGGGTCGAGAAACATGAATCCCTCTGCGCGAACAACATGGGAAGGGATAGAGCGGGCGCAATGCCCAACAGCGCATCTGGTTCATTTTGAGCAAGACTTGCTGTCCACGCCGCCGCGGCCCGTGTCCATTCGAGACAGAAGGCCGTCTGGCCGCTGTTGGTTTGGGACAACATTTGTTATTGGGCATTGTGCCAATTCTTTCCGCGCCCATTCTGGGCGTTCAAAATCCCGGGGCGCGGTCGGCGCTGACTCGCCAGCGCCGCGGGCGGCGCTGTTTCGGCGTTTGCTGGGCGAGGGGGCCGCGCAGTCGAGTTCTCCTGGTTTCCAAATCGGCAGCCTGCCGTTGGATGAGAAGGTTTTCTATGCTAGCGCTTGATAGAGCCTCATTTCAGAGGAAGCCCTTGATGCGGGCTTCCCCCGTGCAGTCCTGCGCCATGGCTTCGAGTGCATATGGCCGTTCGCTGTCTTCGCGGCAGCGCAGGTTACTCTGCGCCCGTTGAGCAAGAGTTGCCGCCCGAACCAGGCAGTTGTTGCGCTGTCGACCTTGGGCGGGCAGCATTGCATCATGCGTGCTGAGCTTGTCGCGGGGGTCCCAGGTGGGCCAGTCGCGCGCGCGCGGGTGGATGACATTGTGCATGGCGTGCGCGGTGCGCGCGCGCATGTGCTTTGCCTGCTGCCGGGGACTGGCCTCAGGCATGTCAGGGGCCTCGAGGCTGCGCGTTCGATTATGGCCAGCCAATGTTGCAGCACTGGTTTCAGCGCGGCAGTAGATGAGCAGTTCCAGCAGCTCTTTCGCAGTAAGTCGCTCGAGATCCAGGTCGAGCCTGTCTCCGCGGATCTCGGCGTCGGTTGAGGCAGGGTTAGAGCCTGTAGACCGAAGCAGGCGTCGAGTGGCAGCGCGGCCTCGAAGCGCCCCGCCACATTTCGAAAACTAGCAGAGGGAAACATGTTGTGCCACCGATGGGCGAAGAGGGTGGCCTTTGCAGCGGCGTCTGCGAAATCTACGTATCGAAACCGTATTCATAGCGCTCCACATGTCGTCTTGAGGTGGCCGAGGGCGTCGGGCCATCTGTCGGGGGTTGTCGCTCGCGGGGTCTGGGGCCTGGCCACTGCGCTTTCCCTGAAGTATGGTCGTCGAAACTCTGCTTTCCTAGCCCTGTTCGATGCCATGGAGGCGTGATTTATGATTCTCGCGCATCGGTCTTGTCGTTCGAAGCCTGTTCGGATGGCCCGGCGGAAGATGCTGCAAAGTTAGGGGGCAAGCCGGCGTCTGATCGTTCGGGAGGAGTCGGCGCCCCCACAGCAGCCGCCATCGCCGCGCCCCTCGACTTTGGCTGGCGGCCACGCGGGCCTTGGGCGTGGGAGAGTGACTCGGGGGAAGGGGTTTGCGACCTCTGAAGGCAATCGGGCCAAGGCAAGGTCTACTTGACCGAGAGTAGGGAAGCGCTGGCCGCGAGTCGCGAGAGCAAGCCATGGGTGGATGCGGCCCAAATTTCCTGGAACGCTCAGGGGTTTGGCAGGCCCCAGGTCTTCGTAGTTTCAGGGGGGGGGGGGCGCGTCGTTTCGCCCAAATGGGTGAACATTAGATAATGGCCTCTCCTAGGACAGCGCCGGCAAGGGATGCGGTGATGCTTTTGAGTCGAACCTGCACAATGCTTGTGTTTGTCCTTAGAGTGCAAAATTTAGAAATGCCTCGGACTTGTTGGTGCACAGGGCACTTGCAGACGCTGAGAACAATTCGTTTTTTTTTTGTTTGGTTGTTGTTGTTTTTTTCTCGGATCCCAAGGCTAACGCCCGCGTCCAGGACCGCCGTTCCCCCGCCTCCTGACGAAGCTAGCTTTCGCCGGCATGGCGATGGGCCGTCGGGGGCGATTCCGATCGGCTTTGGTTTTGGGGGTGGGGGGCCCAGGCTGTCTTTGGGGGCCGTCGTGATGACGGGTCCTACAGCAGTGTGGACCTGCGATCCCATGTTGCAGGTTTGAGCAGTGCCGTGGGCTGCAGGCAATCGGTCAAGAGGAGAGAGGCCACGAGTCCGTTGGAGTTGTCTTCCCTGCTGCAAACGCGTATTGCGTCGCAGATTCGTCCTGTGCAGTCATTGATGCTGCGAATTTGGTCTGGATCCAGAGTCTAACCTTGCTGCGTGGCATCACTTGCGGGATCTGCTAGCTTTATGAGCATCTCCAGACAAGGGCGCGACGCCGAGAGTCACAGAGATGCGTGGATTGTCTCGGCAGCAGGGGCCGATGCCTTACAGTTTCTGCCTGGTGCGCTTGCGGTCGGCACTGCCAGATCGTGGGCAGCACTTTGCAGGGTTTCAAAGAAAGATAGGGGCGGTCGCTCGTCCGCCCTGGCGAATGCTTACCAGGCCCGTGGACACTTATTGCCTCTTTGCCTGCACCGAGGCCGGCAAAGACTGGGCCCCGCAACAGACAATGGCGTCGTAGTAAGCCAAGGGTCATGAGACGTGGGCTGGGGCTTCGTGGTCAGCTGTGAGTTCTGCGGGGGGTCTTTTCCGAGGGCCCTTGCTGACCGATTTTTGCAACGGCCTTGTCGTAAGGGATTGTTCAACGGGGTCGTCATAAGCCCGCGGGGCTGTTGTCGTGAATGGCCAGCAGCTGCGCCGGTCCCATCTGCTTGGATGTAGCCGAGAGCGGGGCAACACTTTCCGTTGGTGTTGCGGTTGTATCGCGATCCAAGCAGCGCGGCGCTCCAAGAAGCCGCGCAGCCGTTTTGTTGGAGACCGCGGGAGACGACAACTCCGCAAGGCTGCCAACGGGCAGCCCCTGCTTAGGAGTACAGTGTCGCAAGGGCAGGCAGCGAGAAGATCGCGCATACTGCTGGAGTGGTGTGCAGAGACGGCAGAGCCAGGCGAGGGCGAAATAGCCGTCGTCGGGCGCTTTTAGGCCGTCTCGGGGCCCCCTTGGAGGCCTCTTGGGCTGTCTTGGGGGCCTCTCGGCGGCCTTTTCGGCCGCGTTGGAGCGTCGGGAGAATACGCGAGAATCTGCAAAGAAAACCTTCGGCAATCTATTGATGTTTGCGTCCCGGGGCCCCCTGGGAGGCTCTTCTGGGCTTCTCGAAGGCGTCTGGCGTCTTCTTAGAACCATCGTAAGCGTCTTGGGCCATGCGTTCAGCGATTCGGGACCGTCTGGGAGCGTGTTTGGGGCCGTTTTGGGGCGCTTTTGGGCCGTATTGGACGCCTCTTTGGCCGCCTTGGGACGCTCTTGGGGCCCTCTTGGGGCCCTCTTGGAGGTTTCTTGGATTGTGATGGGGACCTATAGGGGGGTGACCTCTTTGGCCATCTTCGAGCGTCGGAAAACAGAGCCGGCGAGAATGCCATAATCCCACGGACATATTCAGCACACCGTTGATTTTCGTCCCCCGTGGCTCTTAGGGAAGGTTCCTTGGGCATCTCACAGGCCTCTTGTGGCGTCTTGGAGCCATCGCAAGCGTCTTGGGCCAACCGTTCAGCGATTCTGGGCCGTCATGGGGCGCTCTCTGGCCGTCTTGGGGCCCTCTTGGAGGTCTCTTTGGCTTTTTGTGTGCCTAGTGGGAGCCTCTTTGGCGGTGTTGTAGGGTCGGAAAACAGAGATAGCGAGAGTAACAGAACCTGTTGGCAACTTGCGGGAAACTATTGATGTTCGTTTCTCGGGGCCTTGTTGGAAAAGGCGTCCCGAAGGTGTCTCGAAGGCGTCTTGAGGCGTCCTGGAGCCATCGTAAGCGTCTTGAGCCGTTCAGCGATGCGAGACCGTCTTGGGGCGTTCTTGGGCTGTCTTGTGCGCCTCTTGGGCCGTCTTGGGGTGCTCTTGGGGCCCTCTTAGGGACCTCTTGGAGGTCTCTTGGGCTGTCTTGTGGACCTCGTTGGGGCCTCTTTGGCCGTCTTGGAGCGTTGGAAAACAGAAAAGGCGAGAATGTCAGACGCCTTCGAACACCTAATGAAGACCACTGATGTTTGCCTCTCGTGGCCCTTGGGGAGGCTCCTTTGGCGTCTCGAAGGCGCCTTGGGGCGTCTTGGAGCCATCATAAGCGTCAGCGTCGTGGGCCAATCTTTCAGCGAATTCGGGACCTTCTGGGAACGTTTGTGAGGCCACGGAAGGCAAATTTGGAAGCTCGGGAGTCCCCTTGGGTGTGCCGACGAGCTCAGATACCCCCCCCTCTCGAACTGGATGTTGGACCTTTGGGCAGGGATAAAATGGGGAGGGGGGACAGCCAATCATCTCATACGCCTTCTCACCCCCGGCAAGCGGAGGTCGGCGAATCGGTACGGTTGTTCACGTGACGTCTGGCGTTGCTGCAAGGGACCGTGACCGCATGGTTGAGGACGAGATGAAAGCACTTAAGGACTACGCCTCTGACATCAAGGATTTCTTTGAGGCGGCAGATACGGACAAGTCAGGCCAACTGTCGTGGGATGAATTCAGGACTCACTTGGACGACAACCGCGTGAAGGCGTATTTCCAGACGCTAGATCTCGACATCCGGCAGGCGCACGTCTTGTTCAAGCTGCTGGATTGCAACGACAACGGGGAGGTCGGGATCGAGGAGTTCCTCGACGGCTGCCTGCGCCTGAAGGGCCACGCCAGGAGCCTCGACCTGAACCTGGTGGTCTACCAGCTGGAGACCCTCCTCAAGGGGAGCTCGCTGTTGACGCCTCACAGTACTGATCCCGTGCTACAGCCGAAGAAGACCGGAAGGTCGAAGAAGAAACAACGGCATACACATAAATTTTAGGAGCTCCGCGCGGATTTCTTGGATCCGCGCTGGGCCCCCAGCGGCGCCTCCGGCGCCGCCCCTGGCGCGCTCCGCGCGCCAGGGACGGGGGTCTAGCTCAGATCCAAGAATGTCCGTGCGGAGCGCCGCAGGTCTTTATGTTTGTGGCGTTTTGTTCTTCTTCTGGAAGGGCCCGACTCCAAAAGAGCTGAGCTCCTGACTGCTCTGGGAGGCCGAGGGGGCCGCCGCCAGGGAGGATCTTGTGGCCGAGGGGGGAGCCCAGATCTCCGACGGTATGATCGATGTTTCGATCGGGGCGTATCTCCTCGACTTCGACCTCCCAGCGCCCGTCCTTTAGGGCCCGGGGCTATCCACAAAAGATCCTGGGCGAGAACCTGGCCGCTGGCCCTCGGAAAGAGGTCTGGCACCCCTGCGGCCACGCATGGAACACATCATATCGTCGGAGGTATGCAAGTAGTTCAGGGGAGCCAGGTGGACATGTAAGACCTGGTCACTCTACACGTGGGTAGTCTGAGCAGGAGCTTTCATTCTCGTGGACGCGTCCTGGAATGTTCGATGCGAGCAAACGTGCCCACTTGTATGCCATCATCTCGTGTTCCTTCTTCTTCTTCTTGACTTGTGGCCTGCCTGGAGCAGGACCCCCGCGGTTAACATACTTACAAGTATAAGTATCTCAGGAGGAGGAGGAGGAGGACGAGGGGGGGATGGAATGAGGAGGGACGGGGATAAGGGGGGGTGGGGAAGAGGAGGCAGCAGAGGCAGGCAGGAATGAGAAGGGAGCGGGAGGCAGGGAGGCATGGGAAGGCGGGAAAGGAGGGCGGGGAGGCTCAGGAGGAGGAGGAGGAGGAGGAGGACAAGAGAGGGCAGAAGACGAGGAGGAGGGACAGGCGAAGGAATAGCAGAAGGTGGTGGTATCTCGAACAGCCCAGGCGCCACAATCTAGGATGATGCATATGAAAGCAAAGCAGAAAGAGAGAGAGAGAGAGAGAGAGAGAGCGAACGAGAGATAGAGAGAGATAGAGGGAGACAAACAACACATGAGGGAGACAGAGGAAAAGAGAGGTATACCAACCCACACATGTTATGCATATATTTTTACATACATGCATGCATGCATACATACAAACATAGCTATTTATACATGTATACGTATATACATTAGTGTTCGGGCATCCCCACACCCCTGAACAAAAATACGCAGGGCGATGCAGATATTGTTTTGTTTCTGTTTGCCTCGGTCGTCATAGACGTGTCATGATACATGCTTCTGGCCCGCGCCGCCCACAGCTCATCCGAGTCGCTTTACGGTGCTTTCCAAAGGATTTGTGTTGTCAGGTTCGCCAGTCGAATCGGTTTGTGGTTCTTTCCAAGAGTTCCTGTTATGAGGCTTTCCACTCGAATCCTGTTGTGAGGCTTTCCCTCACATCCTTCCTTTGTGGTGCGTTTCAAATGATTCCTGTTGTGATGCCTTCCGGTAGAATCCCTCTGTGGTTCTTTCCAACGGGTTCCTATTGGGAGAGGCAGGAAGGCGGAGTTCACAAGGAGAGGAAGGCAGAGTGGAGACGGAAGGTAACTAGGAATATTGACAATTGACGCTTGCAATCGGAGGTTCTATCGTAAGGCCTCACAATTGGAATCCTGTGGACATCGCCGCAAAAGGTTTCTATTGTAAAGCCTTAGTAAAGGGATCTGGTTGAACGCACCACAAAAAATATATGGGAACATCACGACGGGAATCCTTTGGAAAGCAGCACACAGTGATTCTCTGGGAAGGCCTCACAACAAGAATCCGGTGGAAAGCACCACAAAAGGAATGATATGGGAGAGCCTCACAAAAGGGATCTGTTGGAACACGCCGCAACAGGACTCTACCGGAAAGCCGCGCAAAAACGGATCGGCTGGGACGCACCACGATGGATTTCTGTTGGAAAGCCCTACGCTCTGAATCCGTTGCGATGGGGCACGAAGGGATTCCCCATGGCTCCCTCCTGGCTCGCTCCCTGCTCCCTCTACGTCCTCTCCTGTACGTTCCCCCTTCCGTTCGCTGCCTCCTCCTCCTTCTCCTCTGTTTCCGTCAGAGCGCCCCGACTGAATTCTGTTGCAACGCTTCGTAGAAGGGATCTGCTGGAAAGGACAACAAAAGGATTCTATTGGAAGGCCTCGCAACAGGGATCGTTTGGAAAGCGCCAAACAGGGGTTCGATTGGCAGGGCTCACGACTGGAATCTTGGTGGAAGGCACCACTAAATTGATTCCGTTGGAAAGCCTCACATAAGGGCCCCGTTAGAAAACAGCACAGAGGGATTCGATTGGAAGGCCTCACGCCAGGAAATCTTTTGGAACGCACCACGCGCAAAGCGCCCCAAAGTGGACTCTATTGTAAAGCTTCACAAAAGGGATCTGCTCTGCTGGAACGCACAACATACGGATTCGATTGGAAAGCCTCACGCCAGGAGTCCTTTTGGAAAGCGCAACAACAAGGATTAGATTGGAGAGCCTCACAAAAGGGATCTGTTGGAACGCACCACAAAGGGATTCTACCGGAAAGCCTCACAACAGGGATCTGTTGGAACGCGCCACCATGGGATCCGATTGGAAGTCCTCGCAACAGGAATCGTTTGGACAGCACCGCAAAGGGATTCGATGGGAAAGCCTCACATTAGGAATCCGTTAATGGGAGCTCACAGAGATTCCGTATGGCTCCCTCATGGCTCGCTCCTTGCTCCCCTCTCCTTCTCGTTCTCCCTTCAGTTCGCCGCCTCCTCCTCCTCCGTTTCCGCCCTCCTCCTCCGTTTCCACCCTCCTCTTCCTCGTGTCTTCTTCCGCCGCCTCCTCCTAAACGAAGCCCAGCATTTTGGCAACAGCTTCATACACTAAAAACAAAACACAACCACAGAAGCTGACGTGCTGGAGGCAGAAACTGTCCGACACCCACGGGAAAACAAACCAAGCAACAACACATAACCACACATTCCACAGAAAATGCGCGGTTTCCCGTCGGACTTACGTTTCCTTTCGGACTGGTTTCTTTGGGATCTTTGTTTTGTGTGTTTGTTTGCTGTCCCAATGGTTATCCGAACATTTCTCTGTCTCCGTCACTCGAGTTTCTTTGTTTTGTTGTTTGTTCCATTGTTTTTCCCCACATCCTGAGTGGGGTTCTTGTTTTCCCAGACCACCCTCTCCTTCCCACCCACCTCCCGCTCCATCTTTCATACAGCACAAAATTATTCCTACCACACACACCATACCATACCAAAGTTCCTACCACACATACCATACCATACCATACCATACCATACCACACCATACGTACCATACCGTACCATACCATACCATGGCGTACCATAGCATACCATACCATATCACACCAATGCCACACCGTACCATACCATACCATACCTCCAGTACCATACCATACCATATCATACCATACCGTACCATACCATACCTACGAGGAGGGTATCGGAAAACCATACTATTTACATGGTTTCGTGCCCCTCCCACCCTTCCAGGGAGGCCCCGCCTGAGCGAGGAGGGTATCGGAAACCATACTATTTACATGGTTTCGTGCCCCTCCCACCCCTCCAGGGAGGCCCCGCCTGAGCGAGGAGGGTATCGGAAACCATACTATTTACATGGTTTCGTGCCCCTCCCACCCCTCCAGGGAGGCCCCGCCTGAGCGAGGAGGGTATCGGAAAACCATACTATTTACATGGTTTCGTGCCCCTCCCACCCCTCCAGGGAGGCCCCGCCTGAGCGAGGAGGGTATCCGAAAACCATACTATTTACATGGTTTCGTGCCCCTCCCACCCCTCCAGGGAGGCCCAGTCGTGCCCCTCCCAGGCCCCGCCTGAGCGAGGAGGGTATCGAAAACCATACTATTTACATGGTTTCGTGCCCCTCCCACCCCTATTTACAGGGAGGCCCCGCCTGAGCTCCATACTATTTACATGGTTTCGTGCCCCACCCCTCCAGGGAGGCCCCGCCTGAGCGAGGAGGGTATCGGAAACCATACTATTTACATGGTTTCGTGCCCCTCCCACCCTCCAGGGAGGCCCCGCCTGAGCGAGGAGGGTATCCGAAAACCATACTATTTACATGGTTTCGTGCCCCTCCCACCCCTCCAGGGAGGCCCCGCCTGAGCGAGGAGGGTATCCGAAAACCATACTATTTACATGGTTTCGTGCCCCTCCCACCCCTCCAGGGAGGCCCCGCCTGAGCGAGGAGGGTATCGGAAAACCATACTATTTACATGGTTTCGTGCCCCTCCCACCCCTCCAGGGAGGCCCCGCCTGAGCGAGGAGGGTATCGGAATACCATACTATTTACATGGTTTCGTGCCCCTCCCACCCCTCCAGGGAGGCCCCGCCTGAGCGAGGAGGGTATCGGAAAACCATACTATTTACATGGTTTCGTGCCCCTCCCACCCCTGCAGGGAGGCCCCGCCTGAGCGAGGAGGGTATCGGAAAACCATACTATTTACATGGTTTCGTGCCCCTCCCACACCTCCAGGGAGGCCCCGCCTGAGCGAGGAGGGTATCCGACAACCATACTATTTACATGGTTTCGTGCCCTCCTCTTCCTCTTCCTCCTCCTCCTCCTCCTCCTCCTCCTCCTCTTCCTGGAGGGTATCGGAAAACATGCTGTTTACACGGTTTCGTGTCCCCCCTTCACTCCTCCAGAGAGGCCGCGCTTGAACGAGGAGGGTCGCGGAAAGCATTACTCTTCGCCAGGTTTCGTAGTCCTCCCCCTTTCCAGCGGGGCCCCGCCAAAGCGAGGAGGGCATCAAGAAAATGGGTCCCACGAAACCGTTAATCTCTTTATGTGGGGAACTCCGTTAGCATAATCTTCGGTTTCCCAACCTCCAGCTGCAGGAAAAGGAAGGGGTGGAGCATGCGAGTGAGGACGACGGGAATGGATGAGAGGAAGGAGGGAATTGAGGATCATGAAGACGAGGAGGATGTAGACCACGAGGACGAGGACGAAGGATATTCTTTACAACGCATACGCATACACATATATGCAAGGGGCACGTGTGTGCCCAGGCTCATACAAAAAACTGAAGGGGCGTTTGAAGCAGGAGTGAAATGCAACAGCGAAGTCGCACTCGAGCGCAAGTGGGGTTGCCACACCTTGCGATGTGTGTACCAGGGCCCCCCAGGAGACCTCAGGAGGCCCGGCTTGGATACCAGAAGAGGCTTCAGGAGGCCCCAGGATTGTGAGTGTTGTGTGTGTGATGTGTGCTCTGTGTTGTGCGTGCTTTTTGTGCGTTGTAGGTATTGTGTGTGTGTGTGTTATGTTTGTCT